TGAGTACACTTTAAACTTTTCGGGATAGTATGATCCCGTATAGAACTGAAAGTGTACACTTTTTAGTGCTTATGATTTCAGCAGCTGAGAACTTAATCCCTGAACCCGCAAGCTTTGTCAGGCGCCGTGGTCCTCTTGAAATAACGACATGATTGATCTGAGCAAGTATCCGGTGTTGCTGCCGCCGTAGCTTTGAGCTGCCCTGTGAGCTGTCCTTCGTTCGCTCATTGCACCGATCGCGATGATCCGCCGGGGCCTTTGTGGTTGTGAGAACCTGGAGGAACTTGGACCGGAGAAAGATGTGATCGACCTCCACTACGAGGCTCCGCATGGTGCATTCAAAGCAACTCGGGACCTCAGTGGCCCAACACAAACGGCCAGGCTCTCGAACAGATCCGCGACACCGAGCTGCGGGCGCTCTTCCTGCGACGTCTCAGGCCCTTGCTCTCTTTACAAACCGTGGCGAGCTGCACGAGATGCCAGCACGCAGGTATTGGATCAGGAGCACCGTGAAGTCGACTGCAGACGTTTCGGCCGACGCAATAAACGGTTGGCTGCTTACTTAAGATGAATTCATGTCCGTTCGTTCTGGCACAGCCCCACTCGCAACTGAGGTGGGAAGGGACACGGCTTGGGCACCGCATGGCCAAGCGCCATGGCCCGAACTGCATGCGACGTCCTCGGACGCATCCAGACAGTTCTTTGTTTGTCATATGCAGGAGAGCCTGAAGCCTCTGCTTCTTCAGGTCTTGGCAACTGGGTGAGTGCCGACTGACTGCAGGTGAGGTTCTTCTTCTAGAAAAGGGAAACGCAGTGCGACGTCTCTTTGGTAAAGCAAGGTGGTGTCGAGGTTGCGTCCTGGCAGCGATAACAAGTTCTCGCTGGCTCGGATTCATAATTTGGAGTCAGTGTTCTCGCACGCACATTTGCATCTCTTCCAGCTCAACATCCTCCTTGTTGGCGGGAAGCTCGGCCAAGCAGCACTGTACAGGGCTATACCTGTGCAAACTGAAACGAAGATGCGTCGCGAGGCCAATATGCCGTACGTGCAGGTTGCGAGTGTCTCAGCATCCTGAAACGTCGGTTGTGGTATAGGTCCTTTCGTAGCATTGCTGGGTGTGAGGTGATACCGGAGGCTTTGGAGATGGCGAACCAGGGGCATCCGACAGAGTACATTATGGCCCGCTCCAATTGCTCGGCATGCGCTGCCTTAGCATAGTAGTAATAGATGTGTCGACCTCGTATCATGTGCGCTCAGTTGGAACGGCGCTTCGGCGCGCTGGCGCACTGCGCCGACGTGCAGGCGCGCTCGCGGCACGAGCGTTGAGATATAGCACGGCCCTTCACCTGGCTTCCAGGAGTTTCTCGCGCATCGCCGCGGCGATCCCATTGAAGAGCGCACGCGGCGCATCGACGCCCGCTACGAAGAAGAACTGGGGCTGGGTCGCGGACTCAGAAAATTGGGAGCACGACGCTTGAACCCTCGGCAAACAAATGTAACAAACCAGCAACATGCGATTGCGTGCGAGACAGTAGCAGCATCAGCATCAGGACTCCTGTGGCAGGGGGCAGACTCACTGCTGCATTGCCGCGTCGCGAAAGGACCGATGTCACACTGGTCTCGGCATAGGCGTTCTAGTTAGTCTATGCACTTAGTAACTGACTTCAGCTGTTAAAGGAGAAGCTGACACCACGATTGCCGAGCACATCGGCACGCATCCGAAGGCAAGGGCTGGATGACTCCAAAAAGTAATTGCAAGAGTCTGCCGAGAGGCATCATCATGTAGCGACGGCCCAAGATTCGCCGTGGCTGTCGAACACAAGCGACCTGACGGTGGCGTTCTGGTTCGATTGTGCCAAGGCTCGGCAGTGGTTCGTGGCATCCGGCTGGCGTCTGACAGGCTGAGCATGCAACGTCCGACAGGCGCAGCCAGGTGAGCGCCGCGTCCTGGCCGCCGTAAGGGCCACCGATATGGCGACATTTACGCTCGCCAAGGCAGGAGGGTCGTCGAAGGCAGCTGGGCCGAGTCGAAAGACGCACAGCTCTTGTCCAGGATGCCGATCTCAGCAACACCGGCCGGCGACGATCACCCCCGCCGGAGCTGCTACAAAAGGCTCGGGTCAGGCTTGGTTCGAACGTCCACGAGAGACGCGCAGACGAACAGGCCCGCAAGTTCACCAAGTGGGCGAAGGAGCGGCTCATCCTGGCGGTCGCCGACGTGGACGTCGTCCAGCATGTCGTTCGCCACTCAGCATACGAATCACAACTGTGTAAGATCGATGTAGTCTCTCGCCATTTACATGCCTGTCAGGAGATCGTGATAAACGAGCTCGACAAGAAGTGGGTAATACTTCTTTTAGGGGTTCGGGTTTAGGGTTCAATTAGGCTTTAGGGTTCAGGGGTTCGGGTTTAGGGGCTAGGTTAGGCTTCAGGGGTTAGGGCTTAATTAAGCTTTAGGGCTTGGGGTTTACGATTTCGATTACAATTTTTCACTACCAAGCATGAAGCCCCCCAGCGGCAAGGCGGTTCTGCAAGCACTCGGTTAACCCTAAACCCTAAACCTGTTTAGAGTTTAGGAGTTTGGGCTTTGGGGGGTTGCGGCACCTTGGCACAAACTCAAAGGATCATGGGATTTAGTATCAGTGGCTAGGGTTTTGGGTTTGGGGTTCTACCAGGTATCTATAGTTACAGTTGCTTACAATTGCAACCCCGATTGGCGTAGCGATAGTCTCCAACGTGCTTTCTCTGTGCCTTGAAACCTAGCATCGTGGCCTTGCTGGCCCTTAACCCTGAACCATAAACCCTAAACCCTAAATTTTGGGTCTATTCTACCATAGCTTGACTAAGGATCAAGGAAGCCGGATGAAGAATATTTGTACTGTAGGTGCCTTAACAATTAGAATAGGGATTTGGAGTGTACTATGCTATACTCTATTCAAACAAAAAGGAAACCCCAAAAATAGTATAGGTAAATACTAAATTAGAAATATCCTATACTATTTTGGGTGGTTTCTATGTTAATTTGGTACTTCTTCAGACTCCTAAGCCCGAAACCACGACCGCTGCACCCTGAAAGCCTTTTCGGTGTGCCTTAGTAGTGAAAAATGGTAATCTTTAACCTTTTCGGTGTACCTTAGTAGTGGAATAGGTAATCTTTAACATTTTCGGTGTGTTTTCATCCCGATACAGTTCCAAAAGGTTAACCCAACCTTAGAGAGTACTGGGTAGAATTGCGGGAACTAGACTCCGCTCCCTTAGGGACACCATAAACTCAGCTGCCGTTTATGGTGGCTCCCTCACAGCCCTGGTGTTGTCAAAGGCGATGCAGCTGTTTCGGTTAAGGGTTTAGGATTTTTTAAGTTTCGCGGTTTACGGACTTTGCGGTTTCGGGCTTCGGGGGTTTAAAGTGTGGGGGTTTAGGGTTCAGTGTCTAGAGAACCGGATGCCGAAGCCGTGTTCTGGGCCTCACCTGATGCCTGTGTTTCTGTGGAGTGGGTTACTTTGATGTTTTGGGACTGATGCTTCAGGTTGCAAACCCTGAAAAAAGATAGGAGGCGCTCTAATGTAAAAACGAAGCTGGCATGAACAGATGAATTTGATGTCGGCACAATAAATCAAAGGTGAATCTCGTTTGGGCTAGGATGCACAGCCCCAACGATAATCCTAGCGGTTCAACCCCAAATGCTAGACCCTGAACCCTAGGGGCCGGAATATTTTCCCACATTATCCCTTTGGGCTCCACATTTTCGTATGATGTGCCCCAAAACCCTGTTCGAATCATTAAGGCCGCTATATCATAGAGCCCTTATAGAATCCATATCGTAATCCTTGTAGAATCCTTAGGGTTTAGGGTTTAGAAGGGTAATCCGTGTAGACCCCCTAAACCCTTAACCCTAAACCCTAAACCCTTAACCCTAAACCCTTAACCCTATACCCTTAACCCTATTGTAACCAAAGGAACCAAGTAGACCCCTAAACCCTATAGTAGAACCCTAAACTAACCAAAGGAACCAAGCAGACCCTAAACCTTTCACCCTAAACCCTACAGTAGAACCCTTAGAGTAACCAAAGGAACCTATAGTAGAACCCTTAGAGTAACCAAAGGAACCAAGTAGGACCCCTAAACCCGTAACCCTGCCCTAAACCCTAAACCCTTAACCCCTATAATAGAACCCTCCGAGTAACCCAAAGGAACCAAGTAGGCATCGACCACTGCGCTGCCGCCAGCGCCAAGCGCATTGCAGTCGGTGGCAGCGCGACGAGCGTGGCTCGGTCACCCTAAACCAGGGGGTTTTGGGGTTTAGGGGCGTAGATTTAGGGTTTAGGGTTTACAAACCCTGAACCCCTAAACCCTAAACTGGGTTCTTGTTAAGGGGTTTTGTTTAAGTTACCAGAATCGAGATCTATAGTAAATAATATGGATTCCTTATTATGGTAACTTGAATCAAATCCCTTAACAAGAGCCCAGTAAACCCTAAACCCTAAACTGGGTCCTTGTTGAATACAATTTTACATTTTTTGTTATATCAAAGCCCTAGTAAGGATTAAGAATAGTAATATTTTGGATATGGCCCCAACAGGGAACCAGTAAACCCTAAACCCCCATACCTCAAGCCTTAAACCAACGTTTGGGCTTGTGCTGTTTTTTTTGGGGTGCTTTCAAGGATTCCGGTCCTTTTGTTTAGGTGGGTAGTTACCGGTATAGGAGCCTTACAGAAGGTCTATATACCTCATAGAAGCCTTCTAGAATCCCTATATACCCTAAACTCCCCACCGGTAGTTTCCTTTAATTTTGGTATTCGGTTTAGATTGTGTGCATCGGCTTTTGCAGGGTTGTGTTGTCTTCTGGCTGGGTAAGAGGGTTGTTGAAAGGATTCCTAGGATGTTATAGCTTTTCCAGCTTTTTCCCAAAAGTGTTGGGAGCAACGTTATCAAAATACTGGCAAAAAAGCTTGAAAAAGTGCAACCAGGCTCTTATCGGGCCTTATCGTTGTTCTGGTGCTTCAATTGAGGCGTTCAGTAGTTTGTTTCTGGGGAGACGGGGGGGAGGGTCTTGTCGAGGAGCTTTGGGTTCCTTCTGGCTTCATAAGGGGTGCTGGTTTTACAAAAGGGGGGTGATAAGATGCAAGAGGGCGTCCTATGGTTTCCTAAGGGCTTCTTTTAATAAGATGCAGAGGGCCTCCTAGGGTTTCATAAGGGTTTTGCTTAAGGAGGGTGATAATAAGACTCAGAGGGCCTCCTCCTTATGGCGTCATACGGGTGTTTTAAGAAAAGGTGTGGTGTAAATTTGACTCCGGGCTTCTTTGGGTTTCCGAAGGGGTTTTTACAAAAGGGTTTAGTTGTTACTAAAGGGTTTAGAGATTAGGGCTTTTCACGGTTTAGGATGTTTTGGGGTTTAGGGTTTAGGGTTTCAGAAAGGTGCCGTTTAAGAAGCGCTAATGAAGGAGGTTGGTTAAGCTGGAAGCCGGAGTGAAGCACAGGCTTGAGGTCGTTTCAGAGCATGTTATAAAGGCTGACGAGTTGACTAAGCTACCATGAAATCTAGAACATGTTCAGGTGTGTAGTTACCGTTATAGGAGCCTTATAGAAAGTCTATATACCTTATAGAAGCCTTATACAAGCCCTATATACCCCAAACTCCCCACCTGTAGTTTCCTTTCAGTTGACTAAGCTACCATGAAAGGACCGTGCATAGAACACTTTCCTGAACTCTGAAGGAGCACACAGAGCTAAGACCATGCATTATGGCCTTCACGAACTTGATCAGGGATCCTAGTACTCGACTGTTCCCTGGAGAAGGCGATCGGTGGCCCCAAGCGATTTACACTCTGCGCAGGTTGTGTTGTTTGTAGGATGACCTTTCGGGAGGTACGTCGCCAAGACCGCGAAGAACCGCAGCATCACAAGATAGCAGCTGTCGCCCAAAGAGAAGAGCTGCCCTCTCGAGTCTCTTAGTAGCTGAATGAGTACACTTTAAACTATTTCGGATAGTAGGATCCCTCATGGAACTGAAAGTGTACATGCTTTTGTGCTTATAAACTCAGCAGCTAAGGTCTGGATTGGTCTCCGCTAGCACTGTTGGCAATACTGCGTATTGCTTGCTGTGCACTCTTTCAGCAACAGTGACGACGGTACTCGTAAAGCTTGATGGTCATCCGACAGTGGACGGCGAGAGTCCATTCGCTTGCTGTGAACATCTGTCGTTAACAAAGCATGCTGCTTGCAGAAGCATGCTCATGTTCGCGCACAGCTTACGACGCCGTCAGCAGGTCTAACGAACCGAACCGTCAGGGGGTGCTGCTGGCCTCATGTCCGAGCCGTTCACATCCATCAGGGCCTCATTTGCTCCGATGCGGCACTGTTTGTGGTCACCACTGATGGCTCAAATGGCCTCCACAATACTGGATGTCTGCCATGTCATTGAGGGCGACAGTCAATTGCTGCTGTCGTGAAATTGGCTGCAGGTGTTCATGCATCTCTACAGGTACGCACCGCCAAAAGCTGGGCCGCCATGATTCACCGAGAACACCACAACACATTGGTTGTCCATCATGGGGGTTGTTCTCTAAATTAGGGTCCCGTTTAGGGTCCCTTTCATAAGGGTGCCGTACTATATTGGGGACTCAAAAATGGATCCTAATTTACAAAACTAGCTTTGTCGATGAAAGGGAGTGCCGCAAAACGGTGCTCCGCTGGAGATAGATGACCGGGCTCCTGTGAAGTGGATCGAAAAACAGTTGCTGCGCCATCTAAGTTCGCGAAGACGCAGGAGTAGCAGCATGTGTCGTCGGTCGCGTGTGCTGTTTGATTCTAAGCATGTCTGCGGTGCACAAGAGACATGTCAGATTTGTGGACATGTTGTGTTGCTGCCTCATGCTAATCAAGCTATGATTATCCAGGCCGACACATTTGCGACTGTCATCGTGGTTTGCAGTGGCCGCACGATCTTGTGTGACAGAGAGTTCTCCATTGAGCGAATGCATGGCATGAGCACGATCTTGTGTGACAGAGAGTTCTCCATTCAGCGAATGCATGGCATGATATCCCTGAACTCCAACTTCAGTTCTGTTAACGTCTTCTTGAAATCTTCTTGAAGCCCCCCTGAAAGCCCCTTCAAGCCAATTTGAAGACCTCTTACAGCTTTTGACTTTGGTGGTGCGACTTGCTGCTGTTAGACTTACAGGATGGAGGATCTGAGTAGGGTTTGGGTTTTTGTCATACTTCAGTTATATGGGGGTTTCCGAAAATAGGGGACCCTAATATAGTACCCTAAATATTAGGATCCCTCAAATAAGGACCCCCAAATAAGGTACCCTAATTTTCGGAAAGTCCTATATAAGGACTCTACGAGGATGCTAGGATGAGGGCCATGTC